TTTATGGTCTGCAGTTTTTCGTGCGTTATGAAACAAAAAATTACCTTCACAATGTAATTTCGGTCATCTCCTAGTGACCGCGAAATTTGCGTTTGCCTTTTTGGATCGAATTCGAGTCAGAACAAAAAACGTCGGATCGAGGTGTTTCAAAAGGATCTTTGGACAAAATCCGAGTTCTCTTGTTCTGTATTTACTACGCGGGTTGACAAGAATACTTAGAGCTTTATGCGTCGCCTATGTATAGTTGTAAACATTTTTATAACAACCATTATATCCATTTTAGATAATGAAAACAAAAGGCTCTTTCAAAAGGCGCTTGATAAAGCATCTCATGGTAAGACCGAACAAATCTAGTTGTTTATCTGAGACACATAATACTTTGAGTAGAAATAAAAAAATATTAATTACCCTCAACCAAAGACAAAATAAACTTGACGTAAAAAGCTAAGGATATAATCATTATACTTTTATCGAACTCTTTTCACATTAATTAAGCTTTTTAGGTCGCACAACAATAACTGTTGCACATCGTCTGAATACTGTTCGTCATGCACACCAGATAATAATGATGAGTGGTGGAAAAATCATTGAACAAGGCTCACATGAAACGCTGATGAATCAGCAGGGTCATTATTATTCTACCATGCAATCAAACCCTGAAATTTTCGAATACGACATGACAACATACATTACAGGTACGTTGAAATTACTGCTGAAATAGTTGTTACGCTTGGATTTTTTTCAAGATGTGTCGAGAAAGTTACCAGAAAACGTTGACCTACCAGCTGCCGATCGGAAAAAAGTCGAAAGCGAAAGATCAATAAAAAAAGTAATTTCCGCTATGACAGATACGTACCTGATATACTTTTTTTATGATGCTTTTAGACTAGTTACTGGTGCCCTTTCTTTACCATACTGAAAATGTATAGACCCGAAGTCTGGTACATAGTTATTGGCAGTTTTGCTTGTCTATGTAATGGTGGTGCACAACCTGCTGTGGGGATTATCATCAGTAAATTATTAACTGTATGTATTCGTTCACTACCAACTGTGGTGTATCTTGATATTATGTAGATCAGTTTTCTCGATTTATACTCAATATAATCAGTCTTATGTACGATTTTCAAAGTCACCAGCTGGAAGAGACGGAGTCATTAGTTTGCATGAAATGAAAATTCTTTTTAAATCCTTTACATTATACATTGTTAGTTTAAAAGAACAGTCAAACATTTGTTTTCTTATGAAATTATAACAATGGAAATACAGCTCACTAAGTGGTTTCATCAATTAGAGAAACGAAAGCGAGCATAAGTCTCTGTACGAAACCGGTTACAAAACAGGGAAAAAACTCTATTTTTTTCAACAGAAAAGGAATACAAGTTTTCGTCCGGTTGCTTTTTTGGGTTACAAGTCTTATCTTATTGTTTATGATTGTTAAACTAATTACATGTTAATGTAACTAATGTTCAAAAATTGATTCATTCTCTCATCACCCAATTACTTTTAGCCCGTGAACATGAATTGTCTTTTCTGACAGAAATAAAATTAATGTAATAAGAGAGAAAGACACTTTTAACTCGCCTCTAAATGCAAAGCATAAAGCTTTAAAAAAGCTCAACTCAGTCTACCACAAATATGATTGAAATGGCCTTACTTTGCTACAGATATTTCAAGAATGTAATATTGATTCACAGAAGAAGAAGATACTAATATATGCCCTCGCGTTTGTTGGTATCGCAGTTATTTTATGGATCAGCGTGTTCTTACAAGTAATTTCTACTGAAAGTAGCATCATATATCCAAAACTACATTCGTATGTTTCGTGCTGTTCTTGAAGGCGACGGGTGCAATTATTGGAACGATATTGGAGAGCTTTTCTAATTTGGGTGTCGGTATTATATTGTCACTTATTTATGGATGGAAACTGACATTGGTTATGTTCGGCTTTTTGCCATTTATTATTGCAGCTGGATATCTCGATGCTAAGTTAGTGAACATTAGTTCGAAGAAAGATAGTATAGTGCTTGAAACAGCTGCCAAGGTATGTTATTTTACGAAGTTTCAACATGACTCGACTAGCGTAGGGGAAGAAGCTCTCTTGTACGATATAAACTCACTAGCTTGTAATAAAGCAGCCATTCGATACCAGATCCTGGCTATTTCTTCAGTTCATAAATGGCTTCGAAATATCTAGCTTGCAACCGAAACAATCTCCAATATTCGTACGGTACATCAATTAACAAGGCAAGAGCATTTTTCCAGTGAATATCGACGTCTGTTTGAGATACCATACAGGTAATAGAGTCACGATTCTAGAAAGGCTTGAAAGCGAAATAGTATTCTACATTGTAGGTCGGCCAAAAGAAGAACGCACATTTCTGGTTTTCTTTATAGTTTTTCGAATGCCATGGTAATTTTTGCCCAAGCTGCACTGATCGCATTTACATCATTCATGATTCGTGAAAACAGAATGACATTTGAAGATGCGTTGATGTGAGTGTTCGCAAGTTCATTTTATAAGACAAAAGAAGTAAAGCTAGACGGTTTCAAAATGCACGTCAGGAAGGAACGTTATGCATGAGATGGATAGACCAAAGTTTACTGATTTCGATACAATTAAGTATTCTTGTTAGTGTTGATAGTTAGTTGCACAGAAAACAGCAATATGGTGGTTACTTTTCCGCCTACTACAGCATTTGTATATTTCCTCTACTGGAAGGCTCATGCGAAACCAATCTGCATATGCCCGTCGAAAACAGACTCTGTTTTTTGGTTAAAATTCGGAAAGAGCATTCGGAGTCTTTCAAAACGCTGAACTTAAAATTAGTATACAGCAATTCCATGTCTGCATGATCTCGCACCTCTAAATCCTTCCAGCGCTGTGCACTTGCCTAAGAATCGTCTGTTTTGGTGTAGGTTTAGTTTGAAAAAATTAACAAAAGCAGACGTAAGCTGCAAAAGGAAATAAAAATAACATTCACTCCACGTTATCAAAAACGACGTATCGAACAATGTATATACTATATCTTTGATTCGTTCTAACATCAGAAGTTATTTATATCCAACGAACACTATATGGTCTGAGCAAGAACGTACATATCATTCTTTTCGTCTTCTACCGAATTCACACCGAAAATGGCACCTCTCAGGGTTAGTACTGAAAAGATCTAGAGGATACGTGACCATAGATAGCTGGAATTGCTCTATACTCATTTTGGGTTCAGGGCTGAATTTAGCGTCAATGAAAAAGCAGCAATCAACCCTATAGAGAAACAATAGGATCGGAACCGTCGAAAGTTTATGGAGAAACGTGCCATTCGTATTAAATATACGAAGCTTTTAGATCTTAGAAATGGCGGCTATATAGTTTGTTTCTTCACAGCGACCCGTCTGCTCAGGTAGAGTGTTCGTATATCCTCGATTAAATAGATATATAGCGGTAAATGCAATGTAAGTCAATAGCAGATGAGCGGTACTTTTGTGCAAAACTATGTTTTACTTGATCATACTCTTCTTCCTCAAAAGAGCTTTAACTTCTTGTTTTTCTTGTTCTCAAGTGTTTTCAATTGCATTTTACTGGGTGCTCAAGCAGTCGGTCAGTCCGTTTTCGTGTAAGTGCAGACACATTTTCAAACAATAATTGATTTTGTTCATTTATTTTTACTTTATAAAAGATCTTGTGATTATGGAAAAGCTATGAAAGCTGCTGAAAATATGCTGAATCTATTTGATAGAACACCCGATATCGACAATACTTCATCCATTGGAAAAGAAATTGTAATGTAATAAAAGCAAGAATCACAGCTTATAATTCTTCTTCTTTTTGTTACTAAGGCTAATTTTAAAGGCGAAATCGAATTCAATATTACAAACTTTCATTATCCAATGAGACCAGGAATATTTGCTTTACGTGATTTCAAGTTGAGAGTTAAGCAAGGTGCGTGTACTTCCAGAAGTTTTCATTTGTAATGGGAACTGTTTTCTTGTTTGTAGGACAGAAAATTGCTTTTGTGAGTAAGCCTGAAAATACCCATTCATTACTTTTATGTGCTGTAACGTCATTTCAACTGCAGGTAGAAATGGGTCTGGAAAATCAACGTGTCTCCAACGAATCGAACGGTTTTATGATGTAAATAATGGATACCTGGTAAGATACAATCGTAGCACCTAATTCCTCACCTCTGTTTGATGATTCATTGTGTCATGAGTTATTAGAAGTTTGGGCACTGGAACCTTTCAGTGCCTTGTAGTGATCACCGCCTGTTCAGTTGAATGCTGATGGCGCAGCCAGCGTAAAGCGACTCTTTGGAGGACTGAGACTGGCATCATGCTTGTTTTCCAGGAAAGCGTCTTTTGCGCAAAGTTCTGTGAAACGCAGGCAGGAAGGAGCACATTTTAGTTATCGAGTGAGTCATCGTTTGGAGCTGTTATCTGAGCTAAGATATCTGCATAATCCGTGCAATAACATTAGGACAGATTCACTACTGATAAGTTTTTCCATACAACGGTCAAAAGCGTTTTCTTGAAAAGGAAGACGATCATCCCATACTCAGACTCCTCCGACTAAACCAGTGGGTCGCATCTAGAATTTTCTTGGGTTCCAATTCTGATGTACTTGGACTGAATTCTTGGCTAAACCGTTTAGCTTCCATGAAGTGTAAGAACTGTCAATGCATGCTTTCATTCTACCTGTTCTGCCTACTACAAAGCAAAGTGACATCGAAAAAATCTGGGGTAGCATCCGTTCTCTCATCTCATAGACAGTAATAAAGTTCCGGTATGCGTATTTGCAAAACAGAAGGAAAATAGAGAGGAGTTAACGGTAAAGTTAATATTGATAGAATAACTGAGTTGTCGCTAACATGCTGACCTCGAAATTCGAAGGCAACCTACAGAAAGTAAGTGCCAACAAAATGTGACAATGAAGATTCGTTAATTGCACGAAGATTTTCATTCGAATAAAGCATTGAATCATTGCAATAATTTAGCTCATTGATAGCATGAATATCTGCGACCTAAATCTGCAATGGATTCGGTCTCAAATCGGCAATGTAAGTCAAGAATCAAGTCTATTCAATGGTACGATTGCGGAAAACATTGCATATGGTGATACTTCGAGGCAAATATCATTGAACGAAATTGTGGAAGCGGCTAAGAGTGCTAACGCTCATCAATTCATCGAAAAATTACCGCAGGTAAATACATGTAGCGATGGGTCGAAATACCATGAAATAAAAAGAAGGGAACGAATTGCGTAGTTTTCTGTTCTGTTCTGTACGGCTATGACGATTATGCCTTTTGTTTCGTTTGTGACCGAGATGAAACGTACGTTATTCCATAATTTCGAACACGACCTTCAGTCATGATAGTCTTCAGAGTTTTTCTCTTTCCTTCTTTTGTTTCTGACGTTGCGACCATCACTAAACATGAAAATTCTGGATCAGGATACTACTTTACTATATTTTTGTTTAGCAATACGAAACAAACTGTGGTAATAAAGGAATCCAGTTGTTCGGAGGTCAACGACAATGCATTGCTATAGCGCGAATCTTTATTCGTAATCCAAAAATTTTGTTACTCGATGAACTGACAAGTGCATTAGGCATGTATAATACGATTTTGACTAAAGCTTAATTGATGGCAGAGATTGACCGTACTGTGAGAATTATTAGTCAACTGCAAAAATCTGATTGAACTAACGTTCCAGTCTTGAATGTAGCTAATTCATTTATAAATTACTATTTTAGATGCTGACGATGAAAAAGTAAGTACAATAGCATTTTTTGTGTCCAGAAACATGCATGATTCATATAGAATTTATATTATAATTTTTAGATATTAGTTATAACGAAAGCCTGTATGCTGCTAAAATTTCCAACCTTAGTCTTGTATCCTTCGTGAGAAATCAAATAATTTTCTTTTCCACTATCAAGTTTGCTTTGATATTCATAAGTTGATAAAATCATTTATTATCTCTCTTTGAGTGCTTTTTAAGTGTTTGTACTATTGAATCGCACGATTAGATTTTTTTCATCTGCAGCTCGCAAGGCAGCACAGATCCTCTTGAAAAGCAGAAAATTCAATTCTGACGAAGGACACAAGACTAAGGTCGGAAATTTTAGCAGCATACAGGCTTTCGTTATAACTAATATTGCTGTGCATTTCAACTGTTTAACTCATTGGAATAGTGCGTTACAGTGGAAGTACCAAAAACTTGAATCTACTAAATCTGTCGTAACTCAGGAAGGAAGTCGTAAAGGCCCAAATTCTTTTAGACGTTTTATTACAATAACGTATCGATCAGCAAAACATGAGGACTTGGACACCTGGATAACAACTTTTCTATAAAAGCTCATACCTCTTTTTAAGAGAGTAAGCAGTAGAAAGATTCATAAGATGTTCTCACCTGAAGCAACAAATGAGTGATACTAGTACAAGAAACATTAGATCGTGCAAGAACAAACTGTACATCTATCTCAGTTGCTCATCGATTATCAACAATCAGAAATGCTGATTTAATTTGTGTGTTGCATGCAGGAACGATAGTCGAAGCTGG